AGTAACAGGTGCCTTACTAGTAGTAACAAGAAGCTACTAGGAACAAGGGCATCGCTACTAGGAGCAAAGACGCGCTACTAGTAACTCCTGGCCGTACTACTAGGAACAAGAAGCTACTAGGGCGGAGGCCATCGCTCGGTGGGAGCACTGTGCGTCTCGATCAGGTAAGGCCTGCCAAGCCAAAAGCCTGCCGAAAGGAAAGCGTGGAGCTTTACTTGGTTTGCCAGGGCTTTGCGAGCGAATGAAAAAGCGTCGAGCCTTTACCGTAGGTGAGGGAATGCCAGCCACATGACGCTGTGATTTGGCAGGTCATTCCAAATGCCGAGCATCCTTCGGGTCATTTTCCGGTGTTCGTCAGCTTCAAATTCAAGGCTGGCTCTTCGAGGCTCTTCGCCTCTTTCAGATTCGTAGCCGTCTTTCAGAGTGGTTGAAGATGAGGACGGCTACGAAAAGCACCGTGAATGCGCCAGGCCAGCTGTTTTCTTTGTAACAGATGGCCTTTGTTCCGTTCGTAGCGTCCTCTTGTTCCTAGTAGTAAGGCCAGGAGCCCCTAGTATCCTTGCTCCTTGGTAGATGTCGGGTCTCGAGGTGACCGAAAGGTCGTTCGATTTTGTGATTTCGTGTTGAGGTTTTTTCGATCGTGACCGAAATGAATGCATCCACCTTCAGAACTTGGAAGAAGCTTGCGGCGAACTCAGAACGTGCCAAAGCGCGGCCTTTCTCAGCACATTTGAGCCTAGGCCTCGAGCTTCGCTACAACTTTCATGTGGATGTTGGGGGGTCCCAAGGAAAGTCGTGCCTTCTCTTGAAACAAAAAGCCCTGAATGGACACGCGCAAAGAGGACATCGAGCATGAAGAACAGACCATACCTAAACTGCAACAAAGAGACCAACGTTAAGTGCAAAGTGCAAGCGTAGGGTCAGACTTGAAAAAAAGAGCGAGGAATAAAGAAGACACGAAGGAAGAACAGAAGAACAGATCCTGTTCCACATGCACAATACATTGTTAAGTTTTGTTCACAAAAAAGTGCAAGCAGTCAAGCATAGAGAGCGTCTCGCAGGTGCCCACCTTACTCATGGAATGCTTTCCGAACAACCAGACGCTTCGGCAGGGAAATGACCCGGACCTACCCCTTCAGCCCAGAAGCGCTTGTTGTGGTAGCTAGCTAGTAGCAAAGGGCATCGCTAGTAGTAACAAGTGCCTTACTAGTAGTAACAAGAAGCTATTAGTAGCAAAGGGCATTACTACTAGGAGCAAGGACGCTAGTAGGGGCAAATGGCATCGCTACTATGGTTTGGAAAGGCCTTTTTGGGCTTCGCAGCTTCAGATCCCTGTACCGCTCGCTACTGCTTTCGGTGGCAGAGACTCACATCCTCCCAACCTACTTGCAATGGCCCTTCAACCTCATAAGGATGCCTGATCTGGCATTTAAAGGGAACAGAGGCCTAGCTGTTTCGGGTGCAGCTCGGGTGTTTCTAGAAGCGGGACGCACTTGATGCCACTACCAACGAAGCCCAAAGTTTGCCTGCTGGGTGTCCCACATCCTCTTGCTACTAGTAGCTCCTGGCCTTACTACTAGGAGCAAGGCGCACTACTAGGGGCTCCTGGCATCGCTACTAGGAGCATTCTTGCTACCAGGAGTAATGGCCTCCATCCGCCACACGGCTTTGCCCCCAAAAACTACCAGTCGCCTCCCATTCACGGCTTTGCTCCCAGTCTCCGAGGATATGCTTCGAGGACTTCTTGAGAGCTTACGAGGCCAGTGTCGCCGGGTTTCGGGTTTCCTTGACTTCCACGGCTTCCTTGGTTGGAGGCCATCGGTAGGTCGGAGGCCAGTACAAATAGGTTGATAGGTTGTCATTATATGACAATTAGTTTCCTTGGCTTCTTGGGCTCAAGCCGTCCTGTCCTGTTTGAAGCAGGCCAGCTTGCGAACTGAGCGGCTGCGGGCCGTTGGTGACCTGGAGTGGCTCGGTTGGAACGGGGCCGGGAATGTTACTAGAGGCGATGCCCTTATTGCTCCTAGTAATAGTAGCTTCTTGTTACTAATAGCTTCTTGTTACTACTAGTGAGGCACTTGTTCCTAGTAGTAAGGCCAGGAGCCCCTAGTAGCTTCTT